TCAACTTTTGGCATTGCGTATTATATGGCTAAAGCTATGCCCATATTGAATTTCATGCCATTCAGTTCATAACTAACGGAGATGTAAAAGCGATCGAACATTTCTAAACAAAGTTATCGTTCACACGGACAGATAGATGGACAGACAGACAAAGGAACAGACGGAGAGACCAACCGGCAGGCGACAGATAGCAATGCAAAATTATAAACGATCTCTAGGATCGTTAATAAACGGCAAAAGTGTAAAATTATGGAACATGTAAAAAACGGTTTTTTGTTTTTTTTACAATAACTTTTTTTGTAAGCGGTACAGAAAAATTCCTTCCTTGGTACAAGACTCGACACCATAACGAACCAAATAGCGAAAAAAGTAGAACAATAGCTCTTAAGATAAAAAACTAGTAGCGTCGCAAAGTTAGCGGACGGACGGACGGACGGACGGACGGACAAAGTGGCCACAATAGCGCATTTTTTTTTTTTTTTGTGGAAATGCGCTAAAAACATAATGCATTTTGAAAATAACGTCATGTAGACGTTATTTCGGTCTAAACATAAAAAATTATGACGGTACATCCTGTATATGACAATATTTCGATTTATTAAGTATAAATCGGAGGATGATCTTCAAATAAGCACAGAGGTGTCAAGTAGACCTCAACCAGCTAGTGCAGCTGTGAGACCTTCTATTAAGGTTCTCTTGTTATTAAAAATTAAAAGTTTGTATCGAGCCACCGGAAACTCGTCATTTTATTCAAGTTAATATTGTTTGTCATTAATTAGTTTTGTGTACAGAATCTGTCAGCGTTTGTGTGCGAAGTTATCGCAAATCTTTAAGTAATTTAAGATTTTTAACTATCGACCGCCTGGTGAGGGGTAATTTGTCCAAACAAGCTTTGTAAGCGTTTCTTTCTTTCGGGAATTTTGTTTTAATTTTTTATTTCATTTGTTGCGGAATAAATTTTTGTCATTGTTAATCAATTAATTGTATGTTTATTCGAATCCTTTGTGTGATCCGGATAGAGTTTTCATGTCAGATTTATCTTCTCGTGTTCATGAATTGTGTCAGGTGTAGTTAATCCTTTAGAATTTTCGGAAGTGATCGAGGATACCGAGTCTCACAAACCATTAATTTATGTTAATATTGGAATTTTGCTTTGTAGCAGACGCCGGAAGTGTACCAGGAAAGATACTAAACATTCTATGTTTGGTGTTTTGTGGTCGGTGTAGTTTACCGCATTCCATGAGTTACCCTTACCCACAAGGAATACTTTTAAACAACTAAGACCCAATCTTTCCATCTCTCAATAAATTTATTTGTCAAAAAGTAAGTACCTTGACAACGATTGGATCAACAATGGTATTGGTGTCCTTCATTCATGGAATTTGTTAGGAGAATAAAGTTATTGAGATGTGGAAAACTAGGCCTTAAACAGGTAATTTTTAGTTAAAACCGATATTTAACCAAATCGCACAAATTATTTTCTCTGACTCAGGAGCTGCATACTTGTTTATGGCAGGTTTATACAATTATTATCATTAGTATAGAAATATGGACACTAATCGCTTCGATGGTACAGTTGACTTTCAGCACCGCCCCGTTAAAGTTATCTTCATGAGGAATGGAAAATTTGGCGGATAAAAGTTCGTATGAATCGCGAATCCAAGCACACCGGGTCCAATTTCGCGAAGTAAAACTCGACACCGTGGTTATGCAAAGGAATAAAATGCCAATGCTTCGCTGTGTTGCTATTAATTATTCCCAATTTATTAACTAGGCTGTGTTACTCAACTTTAAGAAGCTTGCTTTTTAACCAGCTGCTTCGGTTAGAGATCCAAAAAATCACAATGAGTTTATTTAATTTTTTATTTGAAAAGCGGTTCTCCTATTCGAACATGTTCGGTCACATATATTTTACCACTCATAAATAAAAATGCCTTGCTACGAATCAGGCTGCTAGGAGTTCTCTCTAGTTTTACCCGAATTGAAACTGATAATTCGTGTCTACTACTCGGATAGATTTGTATGTGGTCGCTCGCGAAAATCAGCTTAGAATGCTCGTTCTCTCACTTTTCTCGCTATTTTTTTCCCTCGTTGGAAATTTCTGAAATAGGACCTGAAACCTGCTCGGCTTTAAACAGAACGGAACGAAACGGGTTTCATGAGATGTTCTCATCAAGTGGTATATGTGTAAATTTTCCTATGTTTAACAAAGTACAAATTCAAAACCAAACTTTTGAAACGGCAAAGTGACCATCTTATTATTATTATTATTATCTCAAGGCGACAGTGGCTAATATTCTGGAGATGAACTTCAAATCACGAATACTCCAGAGGCGAAAGAGAACATTATGGGTACGATTTGTATGGCACCCACTTGACTCATACCCTCCATCTGATAATTTGAATGTGGAATTTATCCAAAAATCCAAATCCAAAAAATAAAAAAAATAATAACCACATAACACAAGATGCGTTGTAATATAAAAAACCAATAAATCAGAATAATATACAGTGAATTTTTTAAATGCGAACATAGGAGTTTGCATGTAATGTAATTTCCCTATGTTCGATTAAAAAAAAACACATCAATCTATTGAGTAGTTCAAATGAGTAGTAGATACAATTGACAGCTGTCACATTTTTAAAAATACCGCCGTCCAATTTAATTACGAAATCGGTTAAGTTATTACTTAGAATGTCAAGGAGGGCACTTCGAACATTTATTGTAATTGTTTTCGGTATTTATTTTCTTTCATTTATGTATTGAATAGATCAAATTAGTAGAATACCAGGCCAGGTGCACATGACCTACAAATAATTGAAGGTTGGTTCACAATGAGTTGTGGTGTCAGTGCGTGGCCTGTGAGGCCAAGCTATCGTAAGTTTAAGAAAAATGTATCCTAAAGTTGCTAAGGCCTCACATGGCTTTTTAAAAAAAAATCTTACCGAGTGCTCTTCATCATAAAAACTATAGTTGCTGTTCATAGTCACACAAGTTGCGCGATTTGGGAATGTGAACCGCGCACACCTCTTAGATTGATGTGTTTTTTTTAAAAATCGAACATAGGGAAATTACATTGTATCATTGAATAATTTTTATTCAATGATTGTATTGTTCGTGTATGTTCGCATTAAAAAAAAACTCACTGTATATTAGAATATCGAACAACTGAACGATGAAATACGAATACAATATACTATATTTAATATTATTATACTAATTGCAATTGAAAGTGAAAGTTTACGAGCCCTGATTGACCTAAAGGGTCTCCTTCATCACTATTAATTCGGAAGCGTTTGTTTTTTCGAATCTCTAAACTTTCATAACAATATTTTTACTACTTATTTGCGTAACTCGGCAAATATCGCGAACTATATGACTATTTTCAAGCATATGTGCGGCAACGCTATAAATTGATAAAATAAACGCCTCCTAATGAATAAAGGAGAATAATAAGTAAAAAGATCTAAATTTAAAATAAAATGGGTACTTATATTATATATAATAATATATAATACATAAATGAGATAATTACAAGGCTTTCGATGAATGGACAATTCCAAATGATAGCAACAG